CAAATGAGCATTTCAATAATAGAATTCTAAGAGAACCCCTGTGACTATGCTAGTGACAACTCACCTCTGCTGTACTGCCAGTGCTGGGTCCAAGCCTCTCAAATACACTGGGTCTTCGGGATGTGCTATCAGATATGGTCTTGGTATTTTCCACTGTGACCTTCCTTCTAATTTTTGACATTTTGTACTACTTTAACCAAAAAAGAAAGAGGCAAAACTGTAAAATTCTTCAGTTTTAAATAACTGAGCCCACAGCTTACAAGTAGATAAAACTATAGGTAACAGTGTAAAATTACAGGAGATTTTCCTTGGGAGATAAAAAAAAAAAAGGCATAGGAGAGGTCACAGGTAAACCGAGATAGTATCTTCTAAAGCATGCCTTACTGGTGAATTTATAACAGCTGTGAGATTTGTTGGCTACAATTGCACCTCTTCTGGGGAGTGAATGAATATGATCTCACACAGTGAAGTTTTCATAGTACAATCAACCTCAGAAGATATAGTACAAAACGTTTACTTTATAAAAGTTACTTACAAAAATTGCTTCAAAATTTAGTAACTCTATCCTTTAAGAAAAAGTTGTTAACCATCAACTGGTTAACTGAAAAAGTTATGTTATAGAAAATGGAAAAAAAAATTCGGTAAAATTTTTGACAGCAGAAATTATTTTTCATAATGTAAGTGACAATAGTTATGTTCCAAAAATCAGGTTGAGAAAAATGAACGGTATTTTAGTATTTTCTTTGACTTACAGAAGTCAAAGCGCCCGGGCGTGGTGGCTCACGTCTGTAATCCCAGCACTTTGGGAGGCCAAGGTGGGCGGATCACAAGGTCAGGAGATCGAGACCATCCTGCCTTACACGGTGAAACCCCATCTCTACTAAAAATACAAAAAAGTAGCCGGGTGTGGTGGTACGTGCCCGTAGTCCCAGCCAATCGGGAGGCTGAGGCAGGAGAATCGCTTGAACCTGGGAGGTGAAGGTTGCAGTGAGCCGAGATCGCGCCACTGCACTCCAGCCTGGGTGACAGAGCGAGACTCTGTCTCAAAAAAAAAAAAAAAGAAGTCAAAGCAATCTGATCAAGCATATTTATTTTCCAGTAACACAAAACCAAACCAAAACAAAACTCAATGTTGATAAAAACAACTTTCAAAACAGGACAGATTGTAGAACTAGAAAAAGTCAAGATATTTCTATAATCTATACTATACTGACATAAAATTCAAAGGTGTTAAAAGTAATTAATAGACTATTTTACCACTATTAGTAATAAGAAAAAAGACAAATTGTAAAAATATTTTTATTTTATGTTATGTTTAAGGTCTGTTAGATTTGATGTAAACATAAAAATATTTTTTAAGGTCCAGGCACAGTGGCTCATGCCTGTAATCCCAGCACTTTGGGAGGTCAAGGTGGGCGGATCATGAGGTCAGGAGACTGAGACCATCGTGGCTAACACGGTGAAACTCCATCTCTACTAAAAATACAAAAAAAAAAAAAAAGAAAAAGAAAATTAGCTGGGCATGGTGGTGGTGGGCGCCTGTTGGGAGGCTGAGGCAGGAGAATGGCATGAACCCAGGAGGCAGAGCTTGCAGTGAGCCAAGATCACACCATTGCACTCCAACCTGGGCGACAGAGCAAGACTCCGTCTCAAGAAAAATATATATATGTGTGTGTGTATATATGTGTGTATATTTTTTATATATGTGTATATATGTATACATATTTTTATATGTGTATATATGTATGCATACATATGTATATATTTTATATGTATATATACATATGTGTATATATATTTATATATGTATATATACATACGTATATATATTTTTATATATGTATATATACACATGTATATATTTCATATATGTATATATACACATGTATATGTATTTTGTATATGTATATATATTTTTATATATGTGTATATATACATATATATGTAAATAACACATTCAAAAACTGAAACTATAGTAAAAATCTAATCCAATGACATAATTGGGTAATTCAACTAGTGATGCTATCAGATAATGATAGTATGATATTATGACATTAGAAAACAATATTAAATTCTAGACCAAGATACAATCCAGAGCATACACTACTGTGGGAAGAGGGTAGAAACTGCCTCGCAAGGGAAAGGAAAAAAAACACCATACTATATCTCACTTTATACAAACTAAATATTAGTTGAAATCCTATCAATCATCAAAAGTTACTAGAATGAACCATAGTAGCTAAAAAAGTTTCATTTAGTCTCTATAAAGATCACAAATGTTCTTTAATGTGGTTTCAAAATAAAGACATATTACTTTAAAGGAAATTAAATCATGGTAGTACCTAATTGAAACAGCAATAAAAAATTATAAACAATGTTTGGTTCAATGAGGTACTTCAGCTCAATTTTTAAAAGAATCCAAAGAATAAGAACAACATTTGATAAATAAAAGGTGGTGCATCAAGGAAGGAAAATATGAAATAATATATGGTGATTTTAAACTAGAAAATCTATATTCTTAATATAAAATGTAATAATTCTTTTGATATAATAGCAATTAATTTTTAATGATTTTAAAAAGAGAATTATGTCACAGTAATTATAAATTTAAGAATCAGTGGAGAGCATCACATAAACAATAATCGGCTGCAACACAAAATCACTTACATGTTAATTGTTCTCCAAGTAAGGAACTAGACACCATTCCTACATACTGGTGTTAGCATTATAAGACAATCTTTGATTTAATTTTTCTTAGACTCATTCTCAGTCGAAATGTGAACATACAGAGAAGCTGGTAAAATTTCCTATGTCTATTTGATTTACTGAGCATAAAAAAACTGAAAGCTAAGAGAAGTGGAGCTGAGAAAGATCTAGAAAATGTAGAGCTTTCATTAACTGAGAAAAACACTTTTTTAACAACATATATCCAAGCATGATTCAATAATAAGTAAATGTATCACACAATGTATAAGAAGTTTCAGAAAAACATAAAGTTTCATTATATATTGCTATATTAATATACAAATATATAGTGTAATCCTCAACCATTAATTCAATTTTTAAAACATTTCTTAATAAACAAAATTGAATAGGTTCCAAAATTTCCTTAAAGTTAAAAACAGGCACACCATCCCACCACACCGCCTCAAGTGCATTAACATTAATTTTTTATTTTTCCCTCCACTGTCACTGGAAATGAGTTAGTTCTGCCCCTAACATCTCTACTACCCCCAACATGCCTCCACTCCCAGCACAGTCTTCCTCAAAAATTTCAATGGTAATGGTTTCCAGTTAGGACAACAGGCTATTTATTATTGTACTTAGTATACTTAAAACATTGGTCATCTATCATCTCCTTTCTTTTTATTTTTTGAGGGTTCCAGGTATTAACTCTACAGTTTCTTTTCCTGCTCTGTCCTCTGTTGCTTGATTTAGCACTACTCTCCTCCCTTGACCTACTGCTTTGCTGGTCTGAGAGCTTCTCTCCAATCCTAGACTCCCTAACACAAACTCTGAAGACTTCAAGGGTTTGGACTTGCTACCAAAGACTTGAGTGAAGACTAATGATCCACCTCCTCACCTCCGTCACCCTACCCCCATATTCTTTGCAGAGACAAAATTGCTTTTACCAGTGACATCAAGAACTATTCAAGACTCATCTACATAGTAATTATCCCAGGAATTTCACTTCCAGCTACTACTGTACTGAGTCTTCCAATTTAGGGAAGAAATGAAATTAAGTAAAAATGTGGCAAAAAAAAAAAAAAAAACACAAAAAAAAACAAAATGTGGCCGAGCGCGGCGGCTCACGCCTCTAATCCCAGCACTTTGGGAGGTCAAGGTGGGCGGATCACGAGGTCATGAGATCCAGACCATTCCTGGCCAACATATCGAGACCATCCTGGCCACCATGGTGAAACCCCGTCTCTAAAAAATACAAAAATTAGCTGGGTGTGGTGGCACACACCTGTAATCCCAGCTATTCGGGAAGCTGAGGCAGGAGAATCACTTGAACCCGGGAGGCGGAAGTTGCTGCGAGCTGAGATCACATCCCTGCACTCCAGCCTGGCCACAGTGTGAGACTGTCTCAAAAAAATTAAATAAATAAATAAATAAATAAATAAATAAATAAGATGTTCTCTCCTTTTTCTCAGAGTCCAAGAGTACCAGACTTTGCCCTGAAGTAGCACTGCATCGGAGTACAAGGTCTGGTTTACAGCAAGGTCCTGGACAGAACATTTAAAACTAGAATAATAATAACAACAATAATACACAAACACACACACATATATTCTTAATAAAATGTTCTTTAATGTGATATATATGTGTGTGTGGGTAAAACATCTGGTGAAAAAAGTAGAAACTGAAGATTTCTAACTGAAAGAATTCTTCTGATTATCCATGTAAAAACTTCCACAAGTAGTCAACAATAAAATGTCACTTAAATATTACTAATGAGACATTCATGAGGTTGAATAAACAAAATGCTTCATGCTTGCAAAGAACGTAACTTTAAAAATCCCATTTGTCTAAAAATATACACATTATCTACAACAGAAAAACATTTCCTTTTTCATATATTAAAACTAAACGTTACCAACTAACGTGACAATTAGAATTTTCAATCCTATTTAAAACTTTGGGCCCATAAAGGAAAATGAACACCACAACAGTTAAAATATAGATTTTAAGCAGGGGAAAACTTTTTCAAATTATGTCTGAACAGGCCTGAACATGAGAAGTAAATGCTTCAAAGTATATGAGAAAAATTAGAAACAAGATAAAAATGTAAACACTAAAGTCTTTCCTATCATAGAGAACAGAAATCGAGGTCATACAAATAACTTACTAATTTACTCTTCTATGAAGGTTTTCCTCCATTTTTGTTTTCAAATTATTATTTGGTTTAAGTTGCCATCACACTTCTGCCCACACCATCAAGTCTTTCCCAAACATGAGCATTATCAAAGACAGTGGCACTAGTGAAAGTCTATTCCGTTATTTTCCTATTTCTCCTCTCCATTTGCAGAGTAAATGATATCTTTAGTATTTATAATCTCTTTTCAATTAAAAAAGAAAATGGAAAAAGAAAAAGAAAATCTGGGACACAAAGTTTGAGTCTATTAATAAAGACACAACAAAAGAGGGTCTTAAATGGGAACTGCTCCCTTCCCGGGAAACTTAGAATTTCTAACACTGTACTCAGAGGTTCACATTATAATTATGGCTGAGAAAGGGGAAGCATACAAAAGGGTCTCTTCTTGAATAATGCCTCCAGGAGCTCAATTACTAAAATCTTGTCAATAAACACATATCCATTCTAGTATCTTCACTTCAATCCATAATTAATTATCTTTTTCATGTCTCATCTACTGGAAGCATAAGTGAAAGCATAACACTTTAATCTGGATGAGTAGTGGCATAATATTAGGAAATTTTCAAATAATTATGCAATTAAAACCACACGAATGTACTAACTAGTAGGATAAATCCCTATATTCTGCATTTCTAAGATTAAAAAGGTGATACTAAAAATATCTTCACATTTATACTTCTTATTTTTAGAAAGAAAAAATTAAGTTTATTTGATGTGCAGTTTGAGAGAACTTTTTAAAAAGAACTTTCTAAAACGAACTTTCGGATTGCTTCCGTAAATTTAATAGTAAAACAATTCCAAACGAAAATTCCAAACACAACTGACAGAACTAAGCTGACTACATAGGAATTAGCAAAGCAACACTGTAGCACTACGCAGAAAAAATAATTTGTTAAAAAGACTGCACAGAGGACATCCCATGCTGGTAGCTACTCTAAAGTGAACTAAAAAGAACTGCAAACATACAAAAATACAAAAAAAAAAAAAAAGAATGAAAGACTCTGTATATCAACAGCAGTGAATGTTTCAACTACTACTAACAGCTGAAGAAACAGCTCCACCTCTATATGAGATGGAGTTGGGAGAGATGAGGAGATGGGAAGACTAACATCCACTGAAAATCAACTCTCTAAGTAAATGTAAGTTAAACAATGTGTTTACTCTATGTAAATGCCAATGCATATTATAAATAAACACTGATGACTTATTACAATTTTAATAATTTGTATAGATGTTAAGATACATCCACTTGCTGGATTTTAGTATGTTGAATTCATATGACAAATATGAAAATCATATAAGCTTGCAAATCTCAAAATATGCAATGTTCATTTAGAATGACCAGTAATCAGGAAGCCAGTAAGAGGCATACATTTGATAAAACTGAATCCTACCAGATGCACACAGTGAAAGCCTTAGTTTCACAGTGCAACTATTTTTAAAGCCACAAATTGTTACAAGCTTGCATCAACTTTGCTAGTCTCTAGTTGAAACTGACATCTGTTACAATCTACACAGTTCATTAAGAAAATAGAAATTATTTGAAAATCTATAGATTGTATTCACAAAAAGCTCCAATATATTGTACTAAAGCCAGCAATTTCAAATGTTACAGAACTAGACCCCACTAACTGGCACCATATACCCATAGACTGAACTGCATTAAATATTCTCCAACGGTATCGCGGACTTTGAAACCCTGTGGTGTAAAGATATTTTCCAAACTTTTTAAACTACTTTAAAAATCCAAAAATCTTAGACTTCATACTCCCAAAGTAGTTCGAACTACCTGAAAGCCCCATAGTATAACCAAATACCTTAAGACTACCCTTCATTAACAAGATCTCACCAATATAATTCAAGTATTACCAACTCTGTATAATTTTCAAACCACATAAATTGCGTTAGCCTATTATAGAGAGATAATGCCGCCAGACTCTCTCCTTTCATTGCACTTTCCCCCGTTTCTGACAGTTGCCAAAACTACCTACCTAAAGCATATGAAGAAAAAGTAGCACTCAATTCCCAGGACCTAAATCGTTATCACTGCTGAGGGAAAAAAAAAAAAGACCAATCACAAGTTAAGACGTTTTGCTCTAACAGATCTGGAATGCGTATAGAGGAAGATCTAAATTTAAGCGCAAATTGCTGCACTCTTCCATCGCACACACATACGAATACCGCACAAAGGTTCCCGTGCTTACATCAAATGGTAACGAAGGGCACAGCCTATTGTCTGAGTCTACCTATCCCCCTTAGACAAATGCCAGAATCATAAACAGAGCGAGAAATTATATCTGAGCACCCGGGGCTATTGCAGAGTTAAGGGTGGGATGCTCAAGGAAAGCTCAAAATCCCAGTGACTCAAGCGAAGATGGGGGTAACTGGGCCTCCACATTCCGGGTCCGCCCAATGCCTTTCCCCAGATACCCACACCAATTCACAGAACGCTTACTTCCTCCCCAAGCTCCCTTCGCAAGTGCAGTCCGGAGGCACCACCGCCGCCGCCGCTCCGAGGAGCGGGGGAGGCGACTCTCTGTCCCCGCGCCTGGACCCAGGAGGACGACGACGAGGAGAAAGCGGTGCGCGCGCGGCTCCCGGGAACCGGCCCTCGGCTAGCGAATGGCCCCCAGGATGGCTCAGAAGCAGAACCCGCCCGCCGCCTCGCCAGGGTCAAGCGAAACTCGGTTGTAGGAAGAAAAACAACGAAGAGATTGTAGATTAAGAAAAGGCAACAAAAACACTACCAGGCCGCTAGGAGGACCGCCTCAAAACGCCGCCGGAAGTCAGAGGTTTGCCCTGTTCCTCTACAGGCCCAGGCAGCTTCCGGCCGTCTGATTAGTCGTCAGTGCGCAGACACCGCCCTCCGTGGACACGCCCTCTAGGCGTAATATCCCAGGCGAGGAGTGAGAGTGCGGCGGGACGTGGAAATAGAATCCGTACTCTGTGAGAGATGCTGGGAGAGGAAACTGGGAGCCCGGGAGAATTAAAATTCCCAATTAAAAGTGAATTTAAGTGAGTTTTCTCTTTTTATTACATAATTCCTTGCCATAAACTGCTGTTGTAAATGCGCAAAATGCGGCGTTTGTTGTTGACAGTACCTAGAGCCATTCATTCATTTGTTCAACAGTGTTTATGGAGCAGCTGAGCTAGAATGAGAGGCTATGTTTGTCGTTTTTGACACCCCTCCCCTTCCCGGGCCATCGCCTAATTACCGTGGAGCAAACGGAATGCATGGTTGTATTTCTGAAGGCACAAGCAGAAATTTATTGAAAATTTGGAGCAGAAATCTTTAATGTACTTCTGACCACCCTTCCTTTTATTGAGTAGGATCCAATGATCAGCATGAAACTTGTTATTAAACTTGCTTGAGATGGCTAATCAGACGTCGGAAATCAAAGAAAAAGTAGGTAGCTAGACTTTTACAATTTTTTTTTGAAAGGTAAAAAGACATGAACCCTTGTCTGCCTTAATGTCAAAGTAGCACTTATTAGGTTCTCTGACAAAACCAAGGTATGGGAAAATCTTTTATCGAAACTACGGATAAAACTTAAAAATAATCTGATACAATGATTTGGTCTTGCTGGAATCAGTAAATTAAAATACGAAAGCAGAATGATAAAATCAAGGGCATTAAACATTCCTAATGACATGCCAAGCTATTTTAGAGACAGCGGCAAAAGCGTCTTTACAAGTGGGTTTGATGTAACGCTCTGGCAGCAAGAATCCGTATTTGCCCGTATCTCGAAGTTCAATTGTAAACGAATATTTGATGCCCAAATCATAGATCCAATCGTCCGCACCTCCAGGAGCTAGGTCTAAAAGAAGAAGAAAGAAATTTCTGAAATACAGATTTTTCAAATTAATTAACAAACTGGGAACTGTTTGATTTAAATGTTTGTTTGGATACCTTTAGATTTTTTTTCAGTTTTTAATATAAACAATTTTACAATGAGTACCCTTGTTTATACATAATTGCTGCTTTGTCTCTTTAGAATATTTTTCCCTAGAATAGATTTGCTAGTCTAAGGCTTTGCACTTTTTGCAATTACGACATGTTCCCAAATGGACATCAAAAGAACTGAATTAATTTATACCTCCACAAGCAGGGTATGAATTTGCCCGCTTCCCCTTCCCATACCATCAATAGGAATTATGAATTCTGATAATTTTATGGGTGAAAAATAATATCCAACAGTCTTAATTTATGTTTTTTTGATTATCAGTTAGTTGCACATTTTGTTTGGCATATTTATTGGTTAGCTTTATATTTCCTATCAATTGTCCTTACTCATTTGTCTACTTGGTTCATTTTATCAATTGCTTATAAAAACAACATTAATGTTATCAGTTTTGTTTGGCATGTAGACCTTTTTTTCTCCTTTCATTCATTTCTCCTTTCATAAGGAATTTTTTCTCCTTACTGAGCTTTCAACTTAGTTTATGCGGGGTTTTCATATGAAAATATATGCTGTACCTGGAATTTACTTTGGTGAAAGGCATATTAATAATCCAATTAATTTTTTTTCTAGGTAACTTGTTAGGTTTTCCAACCCCATTAATTGAATAATCTGACATTCTTTTTTTTTTTTTTTTTGAGTGCTAAATTGAGTCCAGGGTTATGGCAAAGTCTGACCCAAAATTTTAATTTATAATTTTAGCATCTATCTAGTACAGTTTGGGTAGCATCACATGAAAGCTACAATTGCCAGAAGACTTGTTGCAGTTTAATGCATGTTAACTAAAATGTGTACACATTTTAGTGTTCATGCTAAATACAGTTTTAACCTTTTTTGAGATGGAGTCTTGCTCTGTCACCCAGGCTAGAGTGCAGTGGCACAATCTCGGCTCACTGCCACCTCCACCTCTCAGGTTCAAGTGATTCTTATGCATTAGCCAACCGATTAGCTGGCATTACAGGCGCCCGCCACCATGCCCAGATAATTTTTGTATTTTTAGTAGAGATGGGGTTTCACCATGTTGGCCAGGCTGGTCTCGAACTCCTGACCTCAAGGGATCCTCCCACCTGGGCCTCCGGAAGTGCTAGTATTACAGGCGTGAGCCACCACACCTTGCCTCTTTTTGTTTTTTTTCTAATCATTAAAAAAAAAAAAGGAAAAACCTGAATTTGGCCTTCAGGCTGTCATTTTCTGATGCCTGGTTACAGGTTGATTTTTCTGATCCTCTTTTCCCATCTCCCTTCAAACTTCAAAAGGGCAAAATCAGTGTGTCCTCCCACTGTGTGTAGATAGGAGTTGCTCACGAAATATCTTTCAGCAAAAATTAATCAAAACTTTTTGTTAAGAGTGTCACAAACTCTTGTATGTGTAATATATGTTAAAGACAATCAACTGTAATGTGTTATGAGCTAATACTCTTGGGGGCAGGCTAACACTAAAAAACACTTGATGCAAATGGTATGCACTAGATTACTGTAGGGTACAACCTGCACAACCTTCCATGGTGGCCCTGGGGATCATACAAAAGTTTTATGAACTAGTTTCTGCTTCACTCAACTATTATGATGCCAATTCTGTAATTCCTACTCTATTGCGATAAATATAATTACTTAAATAGCATTTTGGCTTCTTTTTAGGAACTCATTTATTAATATAGCTTTGTTTAGCATTGTCATAGCTATTATGCTTCTGTTCCTAATTATTACAATTCAGTTGTATTACATGTGACCCTATTTAATTCGGAAAAATTAAATACACAAAGAAAAACAGATCACACAGATTTCTTTAGTAGCTCAAAGTTCCCTAAGATCATAAGAAAAAATACTTACATAAGGTTTCTGAGCCACGGCCATGTGTATACCTGATATTTTTACTGGTTTTCTGAATAGCACGAACTGCTTCACTGGCTACTAGAGACTGGAAGCAATAACATATGGAATTTCAGTTAATGTGCAGCTTTGAAACATGACAAGTAGAAGTTTCCAAAAAACAATCATACATTAATTTAATCAAAATGTACATGTAGAAGATCTAGATTCATCTAAAAGGCAAATAAATAAGATAAACAAATTAAAAATGTGCACTTTATGGCAATCACAATTGGGTGGCTTTAAACATAAACTATTTCAATATATTGAAATATTAATTTGCAGAAAAAAATCATATGCCTTTTTGGGAAT